GAATGTCAATACAATATCTGGTAGTACAAATTTAATTAAAGGCTCTGGAAGTGTCACCATATTTCTACTTGAGGGAACAAAATTTCTTATACGTAATGTATTGTTTTCTTCCAAATCTAGAAGAAATTTATTGAGTTTCAAAGATATCCACCGAAATGGATACCGTATTGAGACAATAAGTGAAATTCATGATGAATATCTTTGCATTTTTGGTAATGTCTCAGGAAAAAATGTTTATTAGAGAAACTACTAATTTTATCATCTGGTTTATACTATACAAAAATTAGTGCAATTGAGACACATTCTATTATAAACCAGAAGTCTACTGATCCAAACATTTTTATACTCTGGCATAATTGATTGAACATCCCGGATCCATAATGATGAGAAGAATAATTAATAATTCATATGGTCATCCTTTAAAAAATCAGAAAATTTTTACAAATGACGATTCTCGTACTGCTTGTTATCAAGGCAAATTAATAATTAGACCATCACCAACCAAGTTTGGAAATGAATCACCTGTATTTTTAGAACATATCCACGAGGATATTTTTGGACCTATACATCCACCTAGTGAATAATTTAGATACTTTATGGTCCTAATAGATAAATCTTCAAGATGATCACATGTGTGCTTATTATCATATCGCAACTTGGTGTTTGCGAGATTACTTGCATAAATAATTCGATTATGGGCTCAGTTTTTCAGATCATCTAATTAAATTTATTCGCCTTGATAATGCTACAGAATTCTCATCTCGTGCTTTTGATGAATGTTGTTTATCAATTGGAATAACTATTAAACATCTTATAGCACATGTTCATACACAAAATGACCTAGCAGAGTCATTTATTTAACGTCTCCAATTGATAGTAAGACCATTGCTTATGAGCACAAAATTACCAACTTCTATTTGGGGTCATGCTATTCTTCATGCAGTAGCACTTGTTCATCTTAGGCCAACAAATTATCATCAATTCTCCCCATTACAATTGGCTTTTGGTCATGAATTGAATATCTCTCATTTAAGAATTTTTGGGTGTGTTGTATATGTGCCAATAGCATCACCATAATGTATCAAAATGGATCCTTAGAGAAGGTTAAGAATATATGTTGGGTATGAATCACCCTCTATAATTTGTTATCTCGAATCGTTGACGGGAGATTTATTTATAGCTCACTTTGCTAACTGTCAATTTGATGAAACAATTTTTCCAAATCAGGGGGAGAGAAAAAGGAAATAAAAAAGGAAACTTGAATGAAAAGCTTCATCTTTATATTATCTTGATCCTCGTGCAGTTATATGTGAGCAAGAAATTGAAAAGATCATTAATTTGCAAAGAATAGCAAATCAAATGCCAGACACATTTACTGATTCGAAACGAATAACCTAAACATATATTCCAATTGTTAACATTCCAGTTCAAATTGATGTCGCTACATTCACTAGTTCTATTGCTAATGAATCTAATGTACACCAGAAGTGTGGAAGATTATTGGGTTCTAAAGACAAAAATCCTAGAAAGAAGAAAATCTCAGATAATCCTAGTAACACTATTGAAGAACCAAATGAAATGGATTAGGATATTATTGCTCATGATGATATTCTTGAACAAAATCATTTACATGAACATCAAGAAAATGAGGAAAAATCAATAAGTTTTGTTAGTATAGGAAGAAATCTAAATCGAGTGACAACAATAATTGATGATGTTTTTGCTTATAATGTTGCACTTGTTGTTATGAAAGATAATGGAGATATTTAGCCTCAATTTGTTAAAGAATGTCAACAAATGCATGATTGGCCAGCATGGAAAGATGTAATTCAATCTGAATTAAATTCCCTTGCCAAACGTGAAGTTTTTGGACCAGTAGTTCAAACACCAAAGGGTGTGAAATTTGATCGGATATAAATGGATTTTTATGCGAAAACAAAATGAGTATAATGAGATTAGAAGGTATAAAGCAGTGCCTTGTGGCACAAGGATTTTCACAAAGACTTGGTATTGATTATGAAGAAACATATTCTTCTGTTATGAATACAATTACTTTTCGGTACCTTGTCAGTTTAATAGTGCATAAAAAACTTGAAATGCATTTGATGGAGGTGGTTGCAGCCTATCTATATGGCTCACTTGATAATGACATTAATATGAAAATCCCTAAAGGATTTAAAATTCCTGAAACATATAAGTCAAATGCAAGAGAATTATATTCAATTAAATTACAAAGGTCTTTGTATGGGTTAAAGCAATATGGGCGCATGTGGTACAATCACCTCAGTAGATATCTAATAAAGGAAGGTTACATAAATGATCCAATTTGTCCATGCATTTTTATAAAAGGTCAACATCTAAATTTGTTATTATTGTTATGTATGTTGATGATATAAACTTATTGGAACTCCAGTAGAGCTCCAAAATGCAGCAAAGTATTTAAAAAAGGAATTTGAAATGAAAAAACTTAGGTACAAAGGTCTTTGTATGGGTTAAAGCAATATGGGCGCATGTGGTACAATCACCTCAGTAGATATCTAATAAAGGAAGGTTACATAAATGATCCAATTTGTCCATGCATTTTTATAAAAGGTCAACATCTAAATTTGTTATTATTGTTATGTATGTTGATGATATAAACTTATTGGAACTCCAGTAGAGCTCCAAAATGCAGCAAAGTATTTAAAAAAGGAATTTGAAATGAAAAAACTTAGGAAAGACAAAATTTTATGTCGGTTTACAGATTGAACATTTACCACAAAGAACTTTAATTAATCTGCCTATAGCATTCTAATGGTTATTTGATCACTTGATGTAAATAAAGATCCATTTCGACCTCCAGAAAATAAAGATCCATTTCGACCTCCAGAAAACAACGAGGAACTTCTTAGTCCTGAAGTATCATATCTTAATGCAATCGGTGCACTTATGTATCTTGCTAATACTGCGCCACCAGATTGCAAGATATAGTTTTACTCCTACTCGGAGGAACTAGAATGGGATCAAGCATATCTTGAGATATTTGAAAGGGATAATTGATATGGATTTATTTTATTCCAATGAATCTTGTCCAGATTTAATTGGTTATGTAGATGTAGGCTATTTATCTGATCCACACAAAGCAGGATTTCAAGCAGACTATTTATTTACTTGTGGAGGTACAATTATATCATGGCAATTTACAAAGCAATCTATAATTGCTACTTCTTCAAATCATGCAGATATAATATCTATTCATAAAGCAAGTCAAGAATGCAATTGGTTGAGATCCATGATTCATTTTATTCGGATATAATATCTATTCATAAAGCAAGTCAAGAATGCAATTGGTTGAGATCCATGATTCATTTTATTCGAGAAAAATGTGACTTATCTTGCAAAAACATACCCACAATATTATATGAAGATAATGCAGCTTTCATAACTCAGTTAAAGGGAGGATTCATTAAAGGAGATAGAACCAAACATATATCACTAAAATTTTTTTTTTTACATATGATCTTCAGAAAAATAATGTACAACAGATTCGTTCAAATGACAATATGACAGATTTATATACCAAGTTCCTACCAACTTCAACATTCAAGAAAATGTTGTATAAGATCGGTATGCGTCAGCTTATGTTCTAAAAACAAACGTTCATTAGGGAAGAAATAAATTTTTAAGACACAAAGAATACTGTACTCTTTTTCCTTCATTAGGATTTTTTTCCAACAGGGGTTTTTCCTAGTAAGATTTTAATGAGACATATTTTTTGTGTAATAGACATCCAAGGGAAAGTGTTATAAATAGTATATTATATAATAGATATCCATTAAGTTTATTAAAGAAATTATTTAAAGGTTATATTATTTAGTGTGTAAGGTTATATCTTTTAAGATGAAGGGTTATATCCTTTAGTATATAAGATTATTTTTTTTATTATATTTTTTATTCTATAAATAGTTCATTAATCTTTTGGATTATGTAACTAAGATATTAATACAAGAAATTATCTTCTTCTATCTATTCCATTTCTATATATACTCTCTATTTCTTATATTTCATAATATGGATCATGTAAAATAAAAAATAATAATAAAAAAAAGGTTATACACGAGAGAAAATTAGCAGTTTGGTCGACCAGACACCGAAAAACGGAAAGTTTGAATTCATGAATATGAAAATGACTTCAATGCAATACAAGTAACAGCTGCCTATACAGTTAATGTTTTTTATTAATCCTAACCCACAATATAAATATTAAGATAAAAGATATCTTATTCTTTGAACTATATTTTAAGAAATATTCTGTCTATTTATTTTCGAAAAATAATAATAATAATAGCACTGTTAATTTTTACTTTCATTTCACTGTCAGATTTTTATATTTTAAAAAAGAGCAATTTAGTATTATTGGAAATTAAAATGACTTTTTCAAATATAATCATTTAAAATAGAATTAAAAAAATTATAATTAACCCTTTCTTTTCTATGGTTTTAAAAAACAACTATAACATCTTTTTATTTTGGAGAAATAAAAAGAGAAAAGTATTAAATCAAAATATAATTTAAATCTAAAATAGTAAATATTATTTGCCACGTCAAACAAGTTTTAAGTTTTATTACCGCCTACAAATTTTGCCACATTCTCCTCTTTGAATTCAGTTCCAGTACCCTACTTAGGTCCCATCAGTTTTTGCCCTTTCACTGTTAAAGGTCGATCACCATTTATCTGTCCACTATTTTTGTGCCACGTCGGTATCTAGAAGAATAAAATACTAAGCAATGTGATTTATATGGGTTGACCACCAAAAGGCCGGCTCAGAATCTCTGACTGGTAAACCAAAGAAAAATTTTGTTTAATGCTTTTTGCGTGTTTTTATCTAGAATTGTCTTTGCAGATAATTGTCAAGGTTGGTTTTGATTATGTATTTTCAATTTTCAAAGCTTACCATTAATAATATTATATATAAAAGCCGCTCTCTCTTACCCCATTGCAACTTAAATTAATTATAAAACCTCCATATTCATTCTTCTAGTTCTTGTTCTCTTCCCCATCTAGCTTTTTCTTTTTTTTGTCAAAAAATGGATGATATTGAAATTCCTGAATACTATCTCTGTCCCATATCCCTTCAAATCATGAAAGATCCCGTTACAACCGTAACAGGCATCACTTATGACCGTGAAAGCATCGAGCAATGGTTGAAGACGGCCAAAAACGGATCTACATGTCCAGTGACGAAACAGCCATTACCAAAAGATTCTGATTTAACCCCAAATCACATGCTGCGGCGACTAATTCAAGCATGGTGTACTTCAAATGCCAAGAATGGTGTTTCTCCAATTCCAACCCCTAAATCTCCTCTCAGTAAGAATTATTTTCTTAAGCTCGTTAAAGATCTTGAAATTCATACTTTGTTTATACAAGCATTGAATAAAATGGAAGCTCTTGCTTTAGAGAATGAAAGGAATAGAATGTGCATGGTGGATGTAGGTGTGGATAAAGCTTTGGTTTCTTTTATTTTAAGATGTTATAAAGAGAGAAAAACTATAGGTCTTGAACAAGCTCTGAGAATTCTCGATGTTACTTGGGATTTGGAAGCAATAAAGGTTCATGTCAAAGATAACCGTGATTTTGTCGATTCTTTGATATGGGTTTCAGGCTTTGATGTAGATAATGATAATATTGATGTCAATATCAAGACCCAGTCAATGTCAGTTTTGAAGAAAACAATGCAAGTTGGTAGTACAGACCTGCTAGAGAGGTTAAGCCATGATTTCTTTAGAGGAATTGTAAAACTACTTAAAGAGAAAATCTCTCAAAAAGCTCTAAAATCAGCCTTGCTTGTGTTACTAGAAGTGTGCCCATGGGGAAGAAACAGAATGAAAATTGTAGAAGCAAAAGCAGTGTTCGAGCTAATCGAACTTGAGCTAGGAAAACCAGAGAAGAACATAACAGAACTCATTTTTAATCTCTTAGCAGAGTTATGTTGTTGCGCAGACGGGCGAGATCAGTTTCTTAAGCATGCAGGAAGTATTGCAATGATATCAAAAAGAATCCTTAGGGTTTCGCCGGCAACCGATGACCGAGCAGTGCATATACTGGGTCTGGTGTCAAAGTTTTCTGCTAACGACCAACTTCTTTTAGAGATGTTGAGGGTTGGAGCCGTGTCAAAACTTTGTATGGTGATTCAAGCAAATTGTGCTGCTTACTTAAAGCAGAAAGCAAGAGGGATCCTTAGATTGCATTCTAAGGTGTGGAACAATTCTCCTTGTATACATGTGTATTTGTTAACGAGGGACTTTTTACCAAAATAGTGATAAAAAAAAAAATGTAATTACCAGAATGGTGTCCTTTAAAAAATATTTACGAATATATTATTTTGTTGAGATTTCAAAGATATTTGTTAAATTTTGAATCTAACAAATGTATTGTTAGATTCAAAATTTAATTGTAAGCCTATGACTGTAATCTTTAGACTATGACTATGACTATTTTTTTTTTTTAAATTCATAATGTAAGATGTACAAAAATACAGGCCGTATGGACCCGCATTATATATCTATACTATATAAATGTCATAATAGAGGGAAAATAATGGAATTTTCGATATCATCCTTAATGAAATTTGGAATATCCTAAATGGCTTTAGTTATAGTCAATTCGAAAATTGCATTTTATAGCAACGAGTATTTGGATGAGTAATTAAGCACTCTTCTCCTGTAAGTGAGGTCGATGGTTTGATTTTCATAGATGGGGTAAATACTCGCTAAGAGTACTTTATCCCTTTTTGAACCGACCGCACGATTTAGTTCTAGCCTAGTAGGCTCGGGATATTTGTGTTAAAAAAAAATTTTATTTTATTATTTGATTGGACATAATTTCTAAAAATTATTTTTAAAATAAATACATATAGATAATAAAAAAAGAAAAAGTATACTCTTTTTTTTTATGGTTGTGTGGAAAATTGAGGGTTTATTTAGGGAGGATAAAACTTTTCCTTTATATAATCTTTTTTATTAATTACTTAACTTATTTATTTATTTATTTTAAATTTACCACTTAGAAAAATAGAGAAACAAAATTAGATCTTGGCATTATTTGCTTTGTAATTTTCATTTATTGACTTGGCTAAAATCTTTCCTTTTTTTTTATCTGTCAATATCAAATTTTATTAAATTACAACTTTTCCAGTTAGACAAGGGATTGATTTTTGAAATTTAAATTCATAATTTTTTTAATATAATTTGTTTCTTGTTATATGTCGAGTCTCGAAAAGAGTTCTATTCTCAATAATAATTTTTTTTATTTTTTTATTTTTTTATTTTTTATTTTATTTTTTGTTACTGAATTAATTTGTAACTACTATCACTTTAATTTAGTAAGAGATTTATATGTCTCTTGCAATAAATAGATGGCCTCTTGATGGTTAAATATTTTTATTTTCTTAATATTTTTTCTATTATATTCTAAATCTGTTTGACTTAAAAGAAAATAGTGTTTATAAAACTAGAAAAAAAAAACTAGACTATATATTTCTTTTTTAGGTCACTTTTTGGGATTTCAAGAATTTGTGTATATATACATATATTCTTTTCTCTAATGCACTGGATAAGTAAGTAATTACTATTATCAATTCAGATCATCTGCTCATTTTTTTTCTTTATCAAGTAGTAAAAAATAATTTATTATTATTTTCATTATAGATTTATATAGATATTGATTTGGAGTTGATGACAGGAGGTTGGAGATTGAGTGATGACTTGATTTTCATTTTGGGCACGTATTAAGGTTTTAAGAATCTACTTTTATAAATGAGGGACCGAAGGATTAGTGTCACGACCCGTTTCCGTGGGCCGGACCGGCACTAGGACCTGGGTGGGCTTAAGGCCCCCAAAGCCCGTAGTAAGCCTAACTTATTTAAATCGTTTCCGTGGGCCGGACCGGCATAGGACCTGGGTGGGCTGAAGGCCCCCAAAGCCCGAGTAAGCCTAAAACTTATTTAAATTCTTACATTCTTTCATAATTATGGATTCAGGCCCAAAATTTATTTAGTCACAAATATTATCCAAAGTAACAACCCACATAATAAATGGTTATACTCTATTTGATCAGTTTAAAACCCAGTTGGACATACAATTGCGGAACTCTAACCTGTACATTTACTTCATTATTTTCTACATTAACGTCTTCTATAATAATTGTTCAACTCCACAGGACGTTTCTTCTATTACTGAAAAAATAGGCTGGCAGGGCGTGAGCTGCCAAACTCATGAGTAGGTTAGATAAAACCCTCTCACCCACACAACACACAGATGCTAAATATTTATCTGATCACCGATTTAGTATATGATCAATGCAAGTTTATCCACAAATGGCAATACAACGAGCAATCACATTATTAATCACTTCATATATCAATCACGTGGGAAAATAGTCAGTGGAGTCACCGGGAAAACCCCCGATGAGCCGTCCTCCCACATGGCCCAGTCCTCTCACGTTGTGCACCAGGGAGCCGATCCCCATACTGGCCGACCGTCTAATCGCTCACTTGGACCAGCCACTCTCATTTTTTTTTTTTCTATCCTCTCGTTTCTTTTCATATCAACAGGGGCAACCGTGTGGGTCTCCATCCAATTCTAGATCATCAAGCGCTCAACGAACAGGAGGCCACCCTGCGCGGCTGCGATCAAATTCTAGATTTATTCCGGTGGCGCAACAACGAGAAGCCAACCCTGATGTGAACGTAACAGACGGTAGGTGCATCACGGGGCGCCGATCTCCCATTTACCCGGCTTAACGGTAATCAGGATCCATATAACGGTAACGGTAATCATAATCGGGATCCATTTATAACGGTAACGGATATCAACAAAACCCATTCGTGACCACTTCATCCCAAATTCCACACAAACAAAGCACAGCATTAGTCACAACACAAATAATCAAACATTTTTAATATCAACAAATAGTGCATCAGCAGTATGATAATTCAACAAAATAAGCTGATAAATTAGCGTGAATGCATGAATGCAAGCGGATATACTAGTTATCTAAACCACTACTCACAGTCTTTATTGTCCTTTAAAAGGAACTGCCTTTTAGCAACATGCTTTCCAGCTTTTGTCCTCGCATTTTTTGAACTTTTTAGAGATCCTCTAAAATAAAACAAGAAAAATTCTAAGTAAGAATTCTAATTCGGAAATATATTCACATGTCGTTTATTAGTTTTGTACCAGTCATTTAATTTCAACTTTTAAATTAAATTATATATATTATAAATATATATATATATAATATATATATATATATATATATAATATATATATATATATATATAATATAGTTTTCTAATTTATATATTTATTTCTAATTATCAAACTTTAAAATAAAAGGTTACAGTAATATTTTATAATATACTAATAGAATACTAATATTAACTAATATAATAGTATTAATAAGAAATAATATATTGTAAGTATTTTTTATTTTATTTTATCTAACTCTAGTTTATTTATTTTCTTCTACCGAAATTTATTTTATTTTTATACCAAATTTATTTTTATTTTTCTACCGAAATTTCGGCATCATCTCCCTTAAAAATTTGACTATCTACCTATTAAAATATCAATAATTTCACAAATATTCAATCCATACGGCCCATCCGTCGGGCAATTAATCAAACAACATTTTCCCATTCTCCTCCAATCTCAACATCACCACACAATCCAAATTATACATTACAATAACATTATATTTAAACTACTTTAATTAAATCAATACTAAAATTATAAAACAAACTACTCACAATTATCAAATGAAATTAAAAAAACAACCCAAATTACTATAACTAAAATAATAAAAATTAATTTAATTACTAGGCATTACAACATTAACTTAACTAAAACTAATTGACTAACAGTCAATAAAATTAATTTCTTAACTAATATTTCTAAAATTAATTAACTTCAAATAATAATTAATTTAATTAACTAATATTACTAACATTAACTAAATCGACCTAAAATTATTAAATTAATCTAACTAACTAACTAAACTAAATCAATTAACTAAATAAATTCAAGAACACTAACTTAACTAAATAAATTACCTACAAACAATTAATTTCATTCACTAAAACTAAATTATACATCATATATTGTTGCCGGAATTCGATTAACCGGAAATGGGGCTGGTGGCCGGAGGTCGACTGGCAGTGTGGAGAGAGGCGGCGAGGGCTGGGTGGCGTGCAGTGGATCTGCTGTCTCTCGCCAGTCACACAGAGATAGACGCAGGGAAGAAAAAAAGAAAAGAAAAGAAAAGAAAAGAAAGAAAGAAAGAAGAAAAGGAAGAAAGGAGGAGGTGGTGGTGGTGCGGTGGTGGGCTAGAGGTGGGGCGCAGGAAATGGTGGTGAGAATGAAGGTGAGCGCTTGGATATAAGAAAAAAAAGAATTTTCTAGATGGTGGGCGGAACCAGTTCGGTTCGGATTTCGATTTCGGCCCAATTCAAAATTCGATTTTAACTGAGTTTTTTCAGCTTTTTCAATCGGTTTCGACTCCGGTTTTCTCACAGTATTCGACACTAAAAATTTAATATTAATTTCCAGGCTGTTGATTCATTAAATTAATTGGAAAAATCTTTGAAAATAAAAATTCGGTTGTTTCAGTCTTCCCCCCTTAAAAAAAATTCGGTCCTTCGAATTTTAAACAGTAACAATAGCATAGGATCAATAGTTGTTTAGATAATTGGTTGGGTTGATGTTCTCAACATTTAATGGTGCAACTCTAAAAGTTATTTCATTTCACAATCAGGAGTAATACTTATTCATGCCAATGTTTAGATTCCACGCTTACCATTAGTTAATTTAAATTTTGAATAGTACCTATATCTCCAAGTCGTCAACTCAAGTCAAATATCTACCCTCAAGCACAGATTACGACAACTAATATTCCACTTTTACGATGTAAGACGATTTAATCCCCTTATAAATTCTGCTCAAGTAAGATTATTTAATCTCATTAGCTATTATAGGCAATAATCATTGCTCAATAAGACGCTCCATACAACAAACCAAAGTAATTAAGTTTCTAATACAACGAATCCAGTATTCAAATTTTACTACTATCCACCAATTTTTTACGAATCCTTATTTCAAAAATTCAAAACCTAATGCTAAATCATCCATTATCAAATGCCAACCATTTTCCAAACTTGAAAGATAGTTACAGCAAATCTCTTTTCCAAATCCTTACTGAATAGAATCCATAAAAAACAATAGCTGCGATCATTATGTAGAGAATTTAAACTTTACCATCAAGTCCCTATTTTTAGTTATTTTAGTTATTAACTTCTCTATTCCTCTTTCCAATTTGTCATACCATACCATTTCTTAACTAATTATGACTAGAAATTATGCAACTAGCCCTGTTAGCTATTGCCATGCCAAATAATTTTTAATGTATTTTCTAAAATTTGCAAATGCCATTCTATTATACTCGATTCCATGAAGAAATCCAGCCTAGATATATATATATATATATATATTTTACAAGCTAAATCAAAATGTAAAATTCTCCA